CAGAGTGAAAATAAAAAAAAAAAAAATACTATTCTCATTAATGCGACAGTTTCTACTAATGTTCTTCAGTATTGCATTTTTCAAGGGCGGAACAGCTAACGAGATGAATGACACTGATGGAACAAATGCATTCGTGTTTGCCCCATCAGAAATAACAAAGATAATGATGACTATAGTAATAATAATAATTATAGCGATAATAACGAAAGAACAGAAATAATACTTGAATGGTAAAGTATTTTTAATAGTAATAAGAGTAATAATAATAGCAACAGTGATGGAAATAGTGGTAGCAATGTTAGTAATAACAACGGATTTTATTATTAGTGATCATCTAGGCTAGGAACATTGTGATATCAGGTAATAATATTACTAATAATGGGTATCATTATTATTGATATCATCATTATTATTGTTGCTGTTAATCAAGGAGCATGATGGTGTTCTTTTCATCATTATTGTCACTATTAAATTATTATAATTATCGCTATTAACTACACCCTCACTTGTGCCCTTCAGAGTCAAATTCAGATGAACGGAGCGAATTGGAAACTCGAAACGACATTGCTTTAGTTTATTATGCTAGGCGGCGTAATTTAGCAAAAATGAGCTTTTAAATAACATCACTTTCCATTTATGACCATGCATTCAGGTAAGAGGTAAGGTTTCAACACTACAGCGAAAAACGCCATGGATCTGGAATTTTTACGCTTTTTCAACCATCACATTAACTCGGATGCTCCTAAAAGCCAGGCGAAGCTGCACAGGCTCTTCGATCTTGGTTTGCGTACTTCCAGTTTCATACCTAGCGCCTGTTCGATGTATATGCGCCGCTTCTTCGTTTACCTCCCGATTGGTTGCCTTTTTTCTCGCGGATAACCCTCTCTAATGGGCAGCGTCCGGTGATTGTCAGTAAAGGGGCAATATGCTCTGTTCAACTGATTTTATTTGTTCGCGTAACCGCAATGGTATCCTGGATGCCGCTCATTTGACGGAATGCTTGAGTTTCAGTTTAGTCACGAAAAGACGCTAAGCATCTTTTGCTTTTCCGCTTTTTTCGTTAACCAATAATTAGGTTATACTCTTCGACTGATGTCATTTCTGTTGTAAATCTTTGATGTGGCTGAGACGCATTCTATGGCCTAGCACAACTTCACCAGTTCTTGGCCAGCTTGTGAGCGTCTACGTAACTTTTTTGTCGGCGAAGATAACAGTGGTTAACGCTCAAGATAAAACGATAAGTGCACTTTATTTGTCAGACTACTCTTGAAGTTGCTAGTTGTTTGGTACCTGGCCACCCCTGAATTAATCTGACTGAAGCCTTCTTTGAATTCTTTCGCTTGGCATGTTTCTGTGAAATCATTTGCTGACACTGATACTGGCTGATTACAGTGGGAGTCGTCAGAAGTTGCTAACAAACTGGGCATAGAGTGCTGTTTTTTATGAGACGAAATTCACTTCACTCTCCCGCCGCTGAACCAGTTCCGAGAACACAGCCATCCGAACCAGACGCTGCTGATGGTGTCGGTTCGTGACGCATACTGCTGCGTAAATACCGTTACAGAAAGGTGCACAGAACAGGACAGAGCAAAGCACACAAACTCGTCTCATTCATTTTTGAGGCACGGAGAGCCGATGGTTTGTCATCGTAATGCTTACAGTCAATTTTTACGTTCTATTAGAATTTTTATTAGTCTCGACTCCAGTTACAGAAGACTGGTAGCTCGATTCACTCCCGCTTTGGTCCGTCCTGGAAGTTGAGGATATTGCCCAAAGTAGGACCCGACCACTGCGACTCATCGTCTTGAAAAGTCGATAATGAAAGGTCCTCAGAAGAGCAATTTCAAAACTCCCTTATCGATATAACGCATTTGTTCTGCGCAGCTTTTTCGCTTATTCTAAATCTGACATTTGCGTTTTTTTCACTTCTTGGGGAGGTCCAATACATCAAGAAGTCACGTATTTAAAAAGTTAGAGGGCGAGTGAAGCGATTTTAAAAGAGTGGTGAAGTCCGTAATAGGTTTCACCCTCTCTGTATAGTGGTGCCCTGAGTTTTTTTTTGAATGGCGACCACCAAAAGAATGGAATTTTACTTTTTCGCATGGTCGTAACGATTTGATGGACAGTGCTGTTCTGATTAAGATTCTGGTTGTTTATAAGATCACGGAGGAGCAACTTAAACATCTTTTGCTTTTCTACCGTTTCTGTTACATTCAGCGTTCGCTCTTTTGCTTTCGTCAGCGCTTGTGTACGTTGCTATCTTCACTACGGTGGTACTGAGGGAATGTAGGCTGCTTCTTGTTTTGACATTTTTGGCAGTACCGTGCAGTTTTTTCTGATTTCTTAAGATGCAATCTCAGATGGAGATTGTGGTATATGCTTCCTAAATATTTGCATACGTATGTGTCATTTATGTAATATATATATTAGTGAGGGATTTTGAGTGGTAAATCGCTTGTTTCTGTTTAAAATCGATAAATTCTTTCGTAGCTAAGCAGCTGTTCTAACTTTATAAAAAAAACTATTTACATTTTGCCAGTTCGTGTGCGGTCTT